TAAGTGACGTTGGGATAGACGAGCGATGTGAACTAGCCTAAAAATTATATGATTCCAAGATGCAGACAGGCAGAGAAATGTAATCAAATGGCAGAGATGTTTATCAACCCTAGAAAAATACATTAAGATACATCTTACTGCCACCACTAAATATGTTATTTATTTGCCACTACACTTAAAGTTACATTGCTTTTGCAAACTCTGGGCACAGGGACAGGGTGTCACCACTGACTCCATAGGAAGAGAAGCTGACTGGGAGGCATGTCACCCCGTGCTGCTGTGGATGTGCTGTGCTGCAGACAGAGACAGTGGGGTGCAAATGCTAGCATCCCTTGACTATCTGGCACTCATTTGTTTTTATCTTATTACAAATACAAACCATAAACATTAATGATACAAATATAAAACACTGGAAAATAGACATATCTCTGATAGAAAATGGATCTGAAACCGGTATATCAAGTCTCAGGTCTCTCCCTTCATCTGCTTCCTAGAAACTGGCATTTGTTAATCCTCATCTTGCACTGCCTGTTTAAAATGAAGATCTCTGTGGGGCGCCTGGGTGGCTCATTCGGTTAATCGTCCAACTTCAGCTCATGTCATGATCTCACGGTTAGTGAGTTCGAGCCCTGCATCGGGTTCTGGGCTGACAGCTCAGAGCCTGGAGCCTGCTTCGGATTCTGGGTCTCCCTCTCTCTCTGCCCCTCCCCTGCTCACGTTCTTCTGTCTTTCTCTCTCTCGCTCTCTCTCTCAAAAATAAATAATAAACGTTAAAAAAATAAATAAAAATAAAATGAAGATTCCTAGACCCTTCCCCAAATCTAAATAATCAGAATCTCTGAGTCAGGGGCCTGGGAACCCACATTTTAATTCCCCAGGTGGAATCGTATCCATTAAGTTGCTAATCACTTGAATTATCACAGGATAGATTAGCTACAGTGGGAGGAATGCTCTTTCAGTGATAAAATCAACACATTAAAATGAATCATAAGGATAAGGCTTTATGTATAGATGCATATTACACAGACATTTACATACCTATACAAGGCTGTAAGAGGAAAGGAATCAACACTTATTAACTGCCTGCTATGGTACGATCCTGACCAAATTATATATTACTCAATCTTCAAATAATCTTATTTGAGTTATAGATGGAAAAAGTTAGGCTTTGAGACATAACTTTTCTGAAGTCACAAGCCTGGAAAATGGCCCGGTGAGGTTGTGAAACTAGATTTATCTGACCCCAGTCTTCTCATTCCATTGTATTAAGCTCATATGCCCATGAAAACACACACGCATACACCACATACATACTCTTTCTCACTCTTTGTCTCTCATACACATACATCATACAATACCCTTTTAGTAAAAGGCAAAAGAATTAAATTACTTTTAGAAAACCTCTTGTATCAACAGAAATGGGAGCTTTTGAAGAATTTATTCTGTCGACGGTTATTCTTTGGTCTGCCTGCTCACAACAGAATAAAGTGTATGACTACTATCAAAACCAAATTTAACAGCTGGAATTTTAGTAATCAGAAGTGTGTTTTGGGCCTTGCCGGGGTCAAATTTAATAGTGATTCTTGATTTGTGCAAGCTACCAACTCTTAGAAATGAAACCATTTAATATTCATTCTGCAAGTCATATCATCTCACAAAGATCACAAACATGATCTAGCCCTTGTCAATCCAGTGGCCATCCTGAGGCCAGCCCCCACCCCCCAGTATCTGGTACTTCCGTTCTCCCTCCACCAGGAACCCCCTTCTGCTGGCTGCTGGAGTCCTGCTCTCTTGCCAGACTCATCCTCTAGGTCCTCCCTTCATCCTTCTTTCTTTTCTCAGCCTTTGCCTCCCTATATTCTCTCTCTAGAAAATCTCTCCTCCCACCTTTTCTTGTATCTTAATGACTCCCAAGCTAGCCCAGGCCCTCCTCTGAAGCACAAAGGCCCTATCTGTCAGGGGGATGTGACCGCCTCAAACTCAGCCCCTCTCAAATGCAACCCCTTCCCACCTCTGAAGTTTCCCTCGTGGGCAGCACTGCCTAGGAAATCTCAGGGGCGGCTTTAGCTATTCGTTCTCTACTGCCAGATTATGTCAATTCTCTCCTTTGCATCTGTCCCTTTCCCATTTCACTGCTATCGCCCATTTTAGGTCTTCCCCTCTCCCGCTCTCACCTTTCCTTGGTGGACTGTGGAGGCTTTCTCACTGGTCTTCAAGGCTCCGGTGTCTGCCCTGCCTTTCCTCCTGATTGATCTCCCCATGAGCTACCCACAAGAGCATGCCCCTGATGCATAGCTGTTCAAATATATTCAGTAACTCCTACTGGCTAATACATTCGTATTTCCCAGTCTGACATTCAAGACCGTACTGTTTGGCACTGAATGTTCTCAGTTTTATTTCCCACCGGATGGATGCCTCTATAGGCCAGTTCTAACTCAGCTTGATTCACTACCTTTCCCTGAACATGCTCCATGATCTCTTCTCCCCGTCTCTTTGATGGAAACTCCGCTTCCTTCAAGGACTTGCTTAAATGCCTGTTCTTAAGAAAGAATCCCTTGACTCCTAGGAGAAAAAGAGACCTCTTCCTTTTCAAATTACCAAGCTATATCTTTTGGCATTTGCCACACAGTTATTTCTGCATATTTTACTTCCTCACCTACATCACAGGGCCTGAGAGGAAGGGATCAGATCTGTTGAATCTGTTTTCTCTAGCACGGTGACGTACTCATGTGAGCACTCAATAAATATTTGCTGCGTAACATTTATAGAACTCCTAAAAGTTTACAAAGCACATTCACATTCAACATCTCATTTGCTCTATTTGGAGTTAAGTTTATTACAAGGAGCAGTCAAGACTTACAACTGATTTCTGTTGCTTGATGTGATTACTGGAGCTATCTCTAACTCTACTCTGTAAATTAAAGTAGCTCTTACATTGCTTTGCTTTTGAACACTCATAATCCTGGGTAGCCTTCAAAGCTAAAGAGGGGAGAGGTGCCTGGGTGGCTCGGTCGGTTAAGCGTCCGACTTCGGCTCAGGTCATGATCTCACGGTCCGTGAGTTCGAGCCCCGCGTCGGGCTCTGTGCTGACCACTCAGAGCCTGGAGCCTGTTTCAGCTTCTGTGTCTCCGTCTCTCTCTGTCCCTCCCCTGTTCATGCTCTGTCTCTCTCTGTCTCAAAAATAAATAAACATTAAAAAAAAATTTTTAAAAAAAAGCTAAAGAGGGGAGAATTTCAAGTCAAAGAAAGCCCCCTTGCCAAACTGCTTTCCTCTATGTCTACTGGTTAAGTGCACAGATAAAAGACTTCTACAAGCAGGTGACAGTAACGGCAGAATCAAAATTTTAAAAAGAAGAAATTCCTTTCTTAAGATTTCAAGATTTTTAAAAAGACCTATATATCCTTGAGGAGTCAATCTTGAACATTCTTGAAGCTGATATTCCAGCATGTTAACAATAACAAATCTCCAACAGTTGGACAAACAATTCCTTGCTAAAAGATTGAACATGACTAATATCATGATTTTAAAAATATAGTAGTAGGGGCGCCTGGGTGGCGCAGTCGGTTAAGCGTCCGACTTCAGCCAGGTCACGATCTCGCCGTCCGTGAGTTCGAGCCCCGCGTCAGGCTCTGGGCTGATGGCTCGGAGCCTGGAGCCTGTTTCCGATTCTGTGTCTCCCTCTCTCTCTGCCCCTCCCCCATTCATGCTCTGTCTCTCTCTATCCCAAAAATAAATAAACGTTGAAAAAAAAAAAATTAAAAAAAAAAAAAATAGTATGTTTGGTCTTGAATAGCCACGTGCCTTGTGGGAGCTCAAGAAACATTTGTTGAATGAACAAATCAATGAATTAATCTGGAGAAGACCTTACTGTCGTTTATAAGTTGAAAGTATACGTTTATTTATTTTTATTCTTTAAGGAGGCTTCATGCATTGAGCAGAGCCCAGTGCGGGGCTTGAACTCATGACTGTGAGGTCAAGACCTGAGCTGAGATCACGAGTCAGATGCTCAACTGGTTGAGCCACCCAGATGCCCCGAAAGTATAAGTTTTAATAGTTGGATGGAAGTTTATGTTAAATTTGAAAAAAATGAAAAACTGCACTGAGAAGCAAGAACTGTGATATGTCAGCTACTCAGGTTTCTTCCTATCACAGATCCCACTATGACCGCTGGAGAAGCAGGGGTGAACATCAGGTACTGACCATCTGACTACCTCTTTGGAGTTTAGGTTGCAAGCTCCTCATGGGCAAGCACTTTGCCTTGAACTCTGTGGTCCTAGCAGCATGTTCTGCATTCAGAAATGTACACCACAAATGTAGCATGAGATACGAAGCCCTCCGTGACCTGTCTGCATTTTCATACTTTAATCCTTCACACCTGTTCTTTTTTACCTTGTAGGGGTATTGTGAGGAGTAAGTAAGAAAAAAAGAGAGAGAGAGAGAGAGAGTGAGAGAGAGAGAGAGAGAGGGCACTCTGCTGGGTTGTCGGTTCTTGACAACACACGCTGCAAGTGTCCTGGAGGTAGGCGCTTCACATCTGTGCCCTCAGTGCCTAGCGTGGTGCTCACCCTGCAGCCTGGAGCTGGCCGCATGACCGAGCAGCTGAGATCCAAGGTGCAGTCCTGCCTCTGCTCCAGCCCACTGGGTCACCCTGAAGAGTCATTTAAACTCTCTGGGCCGCAATGATGTCTGCGGGCCCTTCCGGTCTGCAGAAGCTAGAGATCTACGAAGAGATTTACAGAAACTCCCACAACAGTCACTGGCAGAACTGGAACAAGACACCAGTCGTCCTGAAGCCTCGTTTCACTTAGTTCCCCCTGCATCACAGGGGCCTCACGCGTCATGTCTCCTTAATAACAGTTCACTGAAGTGTCGTCATTTTGCAATCCCCAAATCTACTGGATCGCTGGCACAAATCATATGCCCCTTGGGAGGCCTTCAGTCCCTCAGAAAAACCGTTTCTTATTTCATACACACTAAGGAGAGATGCAAATTCAGTTACCTCAGTCAGAACACACCAGCACTAACAGTTTCTTGTGCTTTGGAAGAAATCACTTGGAAATTCTTGGTTCTGAGTCCTCCATCTCCTCCACATCAAGACCTAAAAAAAAAAAAAAAAAAAAAAAAAAAAAAGGAAAGAAAGAAAGAAAAGAAAAGAAAAGAAAAGAAAAGAAAAAAAAAAGAAAAAGTACAACGTCCCATGACTGGCTGCCAGGATTTGATGTTTCAACAACAGTAAGTATCATTAGCATGTGTATTGAGCACCTACTATAAGTTAAGCACTGAGCAAAATGACTGCCATACATGACCTCATAAAGTCTTCATAATACCCCTTGATGTAGGAGACATCCCCCATTTTACGGCTACACAAAAAGAAGCTCCAAGAGGTCACAGAATCTATTCAAGGTCACACAGGTAGTTTATGTTAGACCTGAGATGTAAACCCAGGTTCATTTGATTCCAAAGCCTGGGTTATTAACCTGTAAATAAGGGTTTTAAAAACTTTTGACAGTGACTCACCGTTTTAAAAAATTATATTATATAAACAAACCCCAAAGTCTCAAAACAACACTTACTATACGCATTGCACTCTGATATTTTCCATCCAATTCTTTTCCATATTGGATTATGTGTTTTATATCTTTAAAAAAATTCCTGCGGTAACGCACTAAACTGATTCCACAATCTTCTAATGGGTCCCTACTCTTGTTGGAAAAACACTACACTTACATATAGTACTTCACCAGAAGTTTCTCTGAAACAACGGACTAAATCCTCCTATGTTTCTTTTTAACCATGCCAACCTGACTGGAGGAGTTGAGCTTCGTAATTAGGAGAAAAGTCTTTAACCTTTAAAATATGTATAAGACACCATAACATATATCATTTATAATGGATCCTTAAAAGGAATATTCAATTAGGGCCAAAGTCCAGAATGCAATTAGTCACTTACCTACAGAAGAGAAGGACTTATAGAGTGGAATCGCGGACAGACTGAAATCTCGGGTGATTTATTATATACTCTGCAAAGAAGCAGCTTACCGCGGGCGGTTGTGTTGTACCAACAGAACAGACCTAACTACTTGCAGAAGTAAGAGGCTGAGATTGCAAACCCCTGGGGGCAGGGCCCTGCCTTTGCACGTCCCATTCAATTTCAGGGGCTTGGTGCTGAACCAAGAAAATCATCAGATTCCCGTTCGGTCAGGACTGGGGTCCCAGTCGCAGGCCGGGGGAGGGGAGCTGCGACTGTCAGCGCAGTTCCTGAGCCTGCTGGACCTGAGCCCATAACGTCCCCGGCCCTTGGGTGCGCATTTCTCGCCACCCCCCCCTCCCCCCCCGCCCTCTAGCACAGCCGCGCAGTTGGGCCACTAGATGCGGCGCCACCTGCCCCGCTCTGCAGTTGACCCCCTTCCCTCGCTGGGGCGCAGGCCCCCGGGTCCGGGCACCTGCGGACGCAAGGTCTCTGCAGCTGCTCGGTTTTCCAGCGTTTGCAGAGCTCACGGCTCTGCGTCACCCTCTGCCAGCCAGGTTTCGGGGCTCCCTCCTGGGCAGAGGAGGGGTCAGGCCGGCCGCGCCCGGGGCCCCGCGTCCGCAGGCCGCACCTCGCCCACCCAGCCACGCACACAGACCCTGCGAGTGGCACTTACAGGGCTCGACTGCTCCGGCGCGAGCGCGTTTCCCTGGGGGTCCATGGCTCTTCCGGACCCGCGAGTCCGGCCGCTGCGCCACACAGCACCGCCCAGAAAATGGACGCCGGCGGCTCGGCTCTGCCGCCCCGGCCCGCCCCCGGCGCGGGGTAGCGGACGCGACCTGGCTGGAAGAGGTCGGCCCGACCCTCAGCCCGCGGGCCGGGGCGCCCGGAGAACCGCCGCGCGGAGGACGAGGCCTCGGGAGGGTGGCGGCGGGACAGGGGAGCGGCGGACTCACGACGGCCCCGCGAGGCCCAGACCCTACCTGGTGCGACGGCGGGGTGGGGGCTGGGGGTGGGGAACTACGACGGCCCCAGACTCCACCAGGGAGGCAGCGGCCTCCACCTCCTTCCCAAGGGAGAACACAGCTAGGAACCCGGCCCAAAGACAACCCCGTTAAGGGGGCCAAGGGCCACTGAGCCTATCAGAACAAGGCCTGGGGCCGCAGAAGGGCCCCTGGGTTCCAGATCGAGGTCCCAGACGGCATCCAAACCCTGCACGTTGCAGAGAGGCAGGATTCGGAGAAAGTCGAGCGCAGTTTTATTGTAATCAAATTCTCAGAAAGAGGGTGTCACCTGTGCTTTCCCATGGCTGTCAGGAGAGGCCTAGATAGATTTTTCCCAACGTGGTGTAAAAAAGCATTTCACGGAAAAGAGCCAGTCCTCTTCCTCGAATAAAGGGCACCGACTGTCTGCTAGGATCTTTCTTCCAAGATTCGGGGACTGCTCCTGAGAAAGTATTTACCCAGGCCTGCCACAAGCTTGCCTTGTGGAGCTATCAGCCTGGATGGAGCAGTAATGCGCAGGTTTTGTTGGCTTGATTTTGTAACAAAATTCATCCACGTTCCCCGCGCTTTGGTAGTATGAGTCTTACTTTAAATTTTTCTCTAGCAAAGATTTACTGCAAGGTTACAAGTTAAAAGGATCAAAAGCCTGTTATGTGGGACCCAAGGAATTTAACAAAAATCCCCTACCCCTGGACAAGCAGAGCAAGACTAACTCCATTTTGTGCTACACCCACCATCTCATGTATAACCCCCACGTGACCTACTTATTGCTTAAGACACTCCCCCACCCTGGTCAAGCCGCTGAGCACACCCTTACTGGAAACCGGCTCATATAGGAATGCAGAACCCCTAACAGCAAAGAATGTAAACCCCGCCTTTTGCCCGCCAAACTTGCGCGCCAATTCTTAAACCCACCTTTTCCCCGCCAAACTTGCGTGCCAATTCTGACCAGAGTGATAGGCTAGTTCAAACAGTTACTATAGGGTAAATTGTAATTCAATTGGCCACCTGCGTGTGGACTGACACGACTATGCAACTTTCTGTGTGTGTTACAATCTCATTGGCCACTGGCCCCTATAAAACTGCTACGCCTCTTAACCTAGGGGTCCAAGTCCCTGCTCCGCTGTGTCGGGTATACTTGGGCCCAAGCTCGAGCTTGCAAATAAACCCTCGTATGTTTGCATCGGTATCGGCTCCTTGGTGATCTCTCGGATTCGAAATCGGGGGCATTACAGTTATCCTGTTTTCAGCTTGGAATACAGTGTTTGCAGTTCTGCATCTCCATACCTGCCTATATTTGAAGAACCGGATCATGGTGAAGAATAAAGGAGATTGCAATATTAAATACACAGCCAGCATAACATTTTATGTAATCAAGGAAAATATATTGACTTGAAGTCAAGTTAAAGACTCGTGTAATTTAAAAATAAAGGCAGGGTTTTGAAGGCGGGCAGTTTGGGCAACATGCACACACATGTACATGAGCAGTTCCCGACCTTCCCAAAGCCAAGTACCCTCTAGCCTTTCTCTGTAGGCCACATGTTTAGAAAGATCTATTCCACTAAATTGCGTTTATTAACTAATGATTCATCTTCCCACTTGAAAAAACAACAACCCTGCAATGTTTTTGTGTAAGTAACCACCGATCAGAGCTTCTACAAAACTTGAGCCAATCCACTGTTAATGGTGGATTCCAACCTAAAGAAACTTGTGGTCTGATTGCAAGTTTATGTGTTTCCATTGAGGCCTTTGGAAACTGAAAATCATTTGGCGACCACCCCGCCCCCCCAAGAAAATTGAAGCATGTGAATTAAGAACCACCGGTTGGAAAGTGCCGGTGTGAGCCATGACTGTCTGTGCTTTCTTAAGATTGGGAGATGGGAAATGGTAGAACAAGGCAATTTGGCTTTTGGATTCTGCCTGCCCGGGTGTGAAGCCCACCTTTGTCACTTAGAAAGCCACTCACTGTGTGGCTTTTAGGCAAATTACTTAACCTCCCTGAGCCTCAGCTTCCTCATCCATAGAATGAGGCTACTTTTAAGATTACACTTGCCTAATAGGGCTTTTAAATAATTAAATGGGATAATACCTGTGAAGTATCTACAATACTGTTGGGCGCACAGTAAGTGCTTTTTAAGTGTAAACTGTTGTGGATGCTAGTGCTGGAAGGGCAATTATTTCAGAGCTCTACGTTCCTACCATCCAAGCAGTAAGAATCATAGCTACATATGTACAGCATCCTTCACACCCTAGAAATTTTCCATGGGCAAGCTGCCAGGGTCACATGGCGAGTGACATAAAGGCATTTAAACACAGGTCTGACTCCACAGTCCACTTTCTGTTCTGCTAACATGTTCCAGGTGGTACCTTGATCAGACACTGTCAACAGCTTGTTAAGGGTGAAATCGGCTCTGGCTTTCCTAAGAGGCTTAGCAAGTGAATGGCTCCTTACATCCACTTGGGAATTCACAAACAGTGGCATTTCTCTCTCATTAGAGCCAAATGTTTCTCCAGAAGCAAGGAGATTTCCCCAAATTGTTATTAATAACTAAAATATCATGGCAACAGTTTTGAACACCACAGCCGAAAACTTACATAATCAGCCTGTCCTTCAAAATTTTCCACCCTTCCTCATAACCAGTCTCAGATTCTCTCTCTTAATCATTCTTTTGAGTAAGGGGAACTATCTGGAAATTTCCAGGAACATCCCAACTTGTTATGATTTTATTCTTTTCTCTAAAGCTTTTATTCTTTTCTCTAAGTTCTCTTCCCCAAACAACTAAACGTGATTTGTTTTTCTATATCTTTATACTTTTTAGTTCAATACATTTGCAAATCCGAAAAAAAAAAAAAATTCTAAGACTTTCAAGATCCTCTCCTCTTAAATGTCTACCAGTTCTTCAACATCTCCAAACCATGGCTGCCGGTCCTTTTCCAGTGGCTTTTTCTAGGAGGCTTTCCTCGTTTTCTACCTCATTTCCTTTAATCACCACATGATTTCTGCTATGCTACAACTACATGCTTGCATTTTCTGATTTAGGACTGTTGACCAATGTAACATTTA